ACCGATTGCTCTCCATGCCCTCTGTCACAGCAGCTCACAGTCTTTGTTGGCGCAGCGAGTTCGCTGCTTCTGTTTCAAAAGGCTATGCGTTCCCAATTTAAAAAAGTCGCTGATGCTCTTGTCACGAGTCTTGCAGGGCCGGGCCGGGACCGCAGCCGTCGAGAAGTCATTCTGCTGCAGCTGTGTTGTTCGTCTTCCGCCCGAGCTGCTGTTGGTAGGGCACTGCTTACGGCTCCTGAGCCGTAGCCAATTGAGTGTCGAAACCCGCGGAGTGACAATATTCACACACTCATGAACCTCCAAAGCTGCTGCTTCCATGTGCAGCAGGTACATGCCAACATGCACTACCAGCTGCGAATTTCTGTGACTGGGTTCCTGGCGGAGCGGGGACTTCATCACCTGCAAAATCGGACAGAGGCAGCTCATGTAGATCCAAGTTAGTATGTACCTCTTGGCATTGCTTGCACTTTGAAATGGCCGGGCTTCTTCATGGTCACCCTGCCGGTGGCGTCCTACACGTGCTCCTGCCCACTACCTTTGCAGCTTTACTTCGCGACCTCTAGCAATTTGAGAAGCAAGTGCCTCTTGTTTGGGACTTTTGTTGCCCAAGCGGTTTTCAGTTTTTACTGGTGGCCTTCTGCAGCACGGGCTACACGTCCACGAAAAGCTAGAGCTGCCACGCCAGCAGCCAGACCCTGCCACGCATGGGGGTCGAGTGGAGCACTGGTAGCTAATAACACTTTCATCTTGAGTTGAAGCTTGTCCCAAATGCTGTGGAGCCTGAGCAAAACACCGACCAGGCCCTTTGTTTTCCCGGTGTCGCTGCCCGGGCATCCTGGCACAAAATTCACGGACAGCCTGCCTACAAGAAAACTCCTGAGCACTCAGTCGCACTCTTGGCATTGATATACTGCGGAGCTGTTATATGTGCAAAATCTTGATAAGCAGCGGCAGCCACTAAACCGGAAACCTCAACAGGGCCAACATCCCACATGCTTCCTGCACGTGCCTGCTCACATTCTCGACAACAGCGAGGCGAGTGCGCACTCGAGGGACCTGGGCCCGCACAAGGGCGCTGCTGGTTCCGAAGGATCTAGTGGAGCTAGTGAGCCTCGACAAGCTCGGGCTCTAACATGCAAGGCACTTATGGCAGGTGTCAGGCCACCGTGTATCCTCAATGCCATCGCCTCTTTGCTGTCAGAGACTACAGTGGCTATAGTGGCTCACGGCAAGATTCATGGCGGATGCAGGCGCCTCGGCCGAGCAGCAAGTAGTTTAGCTTGACTTTCAATGACTACTGCCAGAGCCGAAAGGAAAGGTTCGAAGTCAAGGGCAGTAAGCTATCTCGAATACAACTGTTGGGACAAGTTAGAACAGGATTTGGGGTTCACCTGTCAGTTCGATGACAATCATGGGGCATGAGAGTTGCGAATGGCATTGGTGCAAATGACGCTATAAACATCACGCCCTGCCCACAGCTTCCTCTCCGTACACTGAAGTTGCTTGTCGACGGCTCTTGTTCTCGCCCGCGGCTAGTTCGCGCTTCACAACTGTCGGTGAGACCATGACATTGCCACTCGTCTCAGGTCAGACCTTCAATGCGCATGGCATGACACGAAACGACATGTGCTGTACCATCTTCAAAGCGCCCCCGTTCGCAAGGCATCCTTCCTTCAACCCTCCCTCAGCTCGAGCATGGCCGTCTGGCTTCCAGGGTCCAGGCAAGCAAGCTCAGGATGCTCCTGGCATTTTTGTCAGATGCGTGTGATGCATCCTGCCTAGTGTTGCGTGATTCTCTGGTGGCAGGCGTGGTGGTGCTTGCCTCTTGCCGTATTGGTAAGAAGGACATGAGCTGATAAACCCAACCAGAGTCCTTGTCACCTTTGACTTTCCTTTGCGGATCGTGCATCCACCAGGCGGGCAAGATTTTGCCAACGAAACGCAGGAGGCTGGAGCGAGCAGTTTCGATGATCTCCCTTCGGGAGGAATGCAGCAGGAGGCAAATCTCGACACACGAAGAGCAGTTTCGCTCCATTCTGTGCAAGAATGTTGGCTGGCCTTTTAAACGGAGCCAGTCAGCACTTCGCCAAGCTCAATCCATGATCAGAGCTGGCTCTCTCATGCCTCGTCGAGCACGAAGCTAGCTCACAGGCCCACTCTTCGTCAGTGAACCGCGGAGAATCTTGAGCTCGCCCGTTTCGAGGACGGTAGCTCTGTTGGGATCTCTTGCTCTTCCACCATCTCGCCATTTTGTAACTTCCAGACAACATCCGGATGATCGTTCTTGCTAACGCGCTCAACGCTGTAGAAGCAAGTTCGAGGCCTGCGCCTGTTCCGAGTCCCAGCGGGCAGCTCAATGCCTCTGTTGGATATATGTTCTCGGAGAACCCGAACCACGGATTCCGCTTCGTAGTCATCGAAATTCATCAGCGGCTTTTCCAGGATCAAGATTTCTGGATTCATGATCAAGGCACGAGCGATGTGGAGCTTGGCTCTTTCTTGAAAGGACAGTGACTCTTGCCAGCCATGCAATTCCGAAACGATCCGTAAAGCTGATGCCGAGCCGTCCGAAGGCAGCCAGCTCGGCTGCAGCTCGTCTTCTTCAGGAAGGGCATCCCAGCAGCAACAAACACCTTCCTGCGCTTTGACAGGACTGGGTTCTTGCAGCATTTGCATCTCCCGCTCTGCGAACTTGCGAGTTTGCCGCATTTCGAGCTTGTTCAGTATCTTGATCATGCGCTGGCGCTCCTCCGGGACTGCCAGAGAGGCTGGATCCCCGAAAAAGAGATTCTGCAGCGGCGATGTGTTCATCAAGAACACTTGGTGAGATACCAGCAGGCACCGCAGGTGCGAGGGAATCAGCACTCTGCCTTGGATTTGCAGGCAGCTGAACAAGTTTGTGTTGTGCTATCGTTGCGACCGCCGTAAACACACCCTCTGCTGGACTCCTCGCAAGCTATCTGATTTGCAGTGCGGCCCTTCTTCTTGCATCTGTTCTTCTGGCTCTGGGTTTTTCCGCAACAGTCTCGCCTCAAGAAGCCGCAAGAACCTAGGATGTAAATGTAGCATTTCGATCTTGACCCAGGACCCAAGACGTCACGATTCATGTGAGAACAAGAGTTTCTGCTGGCAGACTGGCTTTAATCACGGTGCCTGTGGTCGGAGAGGTGTCGCTGCCCAGCGCACGGATCAGCCGTGTCTTTCCCGAGCCTGCACGGCCAACCACTGCAACCAGCTTGCCTCGGGTCGCTGGAGCTCGAAAGATGGTAGGACTTGGGGCTTAGGGCCACCTGTTCGATTTCCCTTACTCCCATGCTTTTCGACAACCTCGACCTTGTGGTACTGACATGTTGACTCCCTGGAATAGTTGCCTTCCTTCAAAGCAGAAGCTCAGGTTCTCCAGGCGGACGGGAATCAAATCGGTTCTGACCGCGGACGAGTCTTCTAACGCAGGGGTCGACAGAATCTCTTTTCGGAGGATGGAAGTCTCTTGCATCCTGCTGTCTATCAATTCACCAAGCTCTTGAACATCCGTGGCTCGATTCAAGAAGACCGTGAGATCCACCAGAGGCGAAAATTTTGCAGCTACCCTCCGGATTCTTGCAAAGCCATCTGCGAAGTTATGGCCCACTTCCTTGAACACAGATACCGTTGCCAGAAACGTTCCGAGCGAGAGATGGCCGGAAAGCACAAGATGCGAGTAGAAGGCCACGTATCCACCCACGAAAAGCGGACCCAGCCAGTCGAAGAAGAACTCGCTGCGGAGCTCGTATGCAACCCATGGCAAGCGTACCTCAGAGAGCTTCGTAGCACGGGCCGCGAACTTATCATTCATTGCAGGGCGCTGGAAGTAGCCCGCAATGAGCCGATAGTTGTGACTTATCTCACTGACCATGTCACCGACCAGCTTCTGGGAATCATCAGTCTCCTCTGGCTTGTGAAGGAGGCCCTCCCGAAGAAATGCCCAAAAAGCCATAATCACAGGCATGGCGATGGCAGCCCAGGCCACACCAGGATCACTAGAAACTGCGAAATAGTTCAGGACGATGAGCTTCTCCAGGTTCTCTGCAAGAGATGAGATGTCATCGATGCTCTGAGCCAGTTCGTCTGAGGTCTCAATCACGAACTTCTGCACTTCGTGTTGCGAGACTTCCGATCGTGAGCTATCGCTGTAGTTCATGTACTTCCTCATGACCGAAGTCTGCAGAAAGAGTGTGCAGTGGCCTCGGATGTCCATCTGTAGCTTGGCCTCTCGCCAGCAGTGCAAGAGGAGTGGAGCCAACACGTACATCAATGCAATGAGCCGAGCCGTCATTTCAGGGTCATCCGGGATCACCAGTTCCTGCTCAAGGGCATCATCTTTGTTGAAAATCACGTTCACCATGTACACCGAAGAGACGAGCATAAACCAAGCATAAAGAGTCTTTAGCTGATCGAAAAACAACGTCAAAACCAGTCTCCACTTGACGCCGGGCACTGACAGCAAAAGCTTCACAAACTCGGCGAACAGAAGAGGCCTGTTCATCTTCCTTATGTCATCTTCGCCCTTCTGCAAAATGCGCTCGTAAGTACTTGAAGGGAAGTAATCCGTGTCCAGCACCTTTACACGGCAAATATTCAGGTACCTTCCCAAATGGCAACCAACTGGATTCTCCAGCACCACTTTGAACTCCAACGTTGCCATCCAGCCTGGTGTGTCCAGGACCTCAACAGGAATACTCTGCTCGTACTGCCCCGGTTGGAAAATCACCTGACCCTGCGTGTGAACATATCGGCTGCCAGCTTTTCCTGAACAGTCCTCCGTTCTGAAGGTACACCGCACTTGCCCAGAAAGCGAACCCAAACGCATCAGCTTAACATTGAACTCTGCACCCTCTTTGGCCACAAAGATTGGAGCTGCAAATTGGATGATGTCCGGGAGGTCATCGGACTCACTCTTTCCTGTGTCCTCACCCAAATCTGGGTCAATGCGGGAGTAATGAAAACCATCTCCCAGCTCCCGGCTGTCGCGACTTTGGCGTGTTTTACTACCACATCCACCCATGGCGGCTACGGCTGGATATCACTACATTGTCACCAACATGCTTCAAGAAATCTAGATCCCTTGCCACTCCAGGTTGGAAGCGTACTGGCTGCATGTTAAGGCTTCTCGCCTGTCCGCCCTGGCATCTACTGGGCATGTGCATTGCTTGTCGTCCACAGGCATAATTAGGCATGGCCTGTGCTGTAAAAGGATTTCGACCTCTGCGAGCGGCGAACTCAAGCTACTAGTTTGCAGCAGATCTTCCTCTGCCCGTCCGTACTGCAGACCGCAAACTGCTCAACAAGCGTTGCTTCGGCTCAGTGCAACGCCCAGAGATCCCGAAGATTACTCATGTTTTCTCACAGGCCTTGTTGCCTATCTAGGCTCAAACGCACCGATATGTCGACGTAGCCCAAGGCAGGTGAGGCGGGGTGGATTTCTTGCACAATTCCGTCTTGACCCTTCTTTCGTGAAAATTTAGGTTTCACTTAGCCGCAGGGACTCGGTTTGTAATCCTGGCATGTGTGGGAGTAATCAGACAGCAACAAAAATAACAGGACAGCGGGCTTTTACATCACTGTCGCACTATGTGATCTGTGGGCCTTCTTCAGCTCCTCGCCAGACTTCCAAAAGCGCCTTGGTTCGGTTAACTCAGAAATTCACTTCGTGGAAATGCCTCACACTTTGCTGAGGCAGTTGCTGCTCGTAGACCTTGGGCAAGACGAAGCAACGCAGGGATCACCATAACTGGTTTTCGTGAGACATGCTTTCATGTGAGTATTAGCTACACCTTCGAGCGAGTGACTAGTGACTTTCTCTGTTTTGAACACTTGCCCTTCGATGTCGCTGCGGATGCCCGGCATGCAACACTGCTTGACTGCCCTGCTTACGGTGGCTTGGAACTCCTCCGCTCCGGTCCAGACAGTGAGACAGGCGTCCTCATGCTTCGTTCTGTGGATCTTCGCGAGCCTTCCATGCTTCTGAACTCCAGCATCTTGACACGATCGCACAACTGATCGTATGCGTGGGGCATCACGGCTGACGGAATGCCAGGCT